CAATATAGGCATTGATCATTGCTTACACCTTTCAGTTGATAGCATTTTTTCCCCCCTTCTCTGTTCTTTTTTTTTTTTTAATTTTTATATAACAAAATATCATGTGTTAATGACTCAACTACACAGCACTTGTCGTGAGGGATTAATTTGTTTACAGTGATTTTTTTCAGTACTAATTTAAGTAGTCTATTGTTAATTGTTGGTAATTACTTTTGTTCGCGTCTCTTGTTGTATATTGCACTTGAAGATACTTTGATGTTTTTATTTTTTATTTTTATTTATTTGTGATTAACTTCTAACTTACCAGATCACATGGTTGGCTAATAACTTTAATAAAAATGAAATGAACCTAGGAGGTATTTTGGTTGCCTGGACATGAAGCTCCAATATTGCAATTGACTAAACATTGAATTCCATTGTCCACATCAATTAATGTTTATTCTGGACCTGTTTGCAGATTCCAATTCCATTTTCTGGTGTCACAAAATAACAGAATCCAATTACTACTAGTTATTGAATCTTTTTCTCTATCTTGTGAACTTCATCATGTGGATTCTGCAGAATAGGTACAAAAGATGAAAAGTTTGGCTTTGAGAGTGAAACTTTAAGGCCTATGAAGTACAAACAAATAGCAGAGTTGCTCAATGGTATTGCTGAGAGATTTGACTGGGATAAAATAATGGAGGGTGACAACATTATTGGACTCAAACAGGTAGACACTCTTCTATCTTGTTTTTCCAATAAAAAATAAAAAATTCTTATCTAAATACTTGGAAAGTTTTTAACTGTTTTCTGGTTCATGTATTACTTCTTTATGGATGATGATGCTCTATTTTTTTGGTTCAAAAGCAATAAAAAAAATTTCATTCTTGTTCTTTCTGAATTTTTTTTCATAAAAGTAACATGCAGCAAGTTTTACCATTTGCTTTTGGTGTATTTCTGGAGGGCAACTTGAGAGACTTCACATTACTATCATGCAGGCAAAGCAAAGCATATCATTGGAACCAGGAGGCCAATTTGAGCTTAGTGGTGCACCTCTTGAAACTTTACATCAAACTTGTGCTGAGGTTAATTCACATCTTTATCAGGTTTGTCTGAAACTATAACATTAGCATATAGATGAAGACATGTGGTTGAAATGTAATATGCTAGGAATTCTTCAGTTATGATTTATGAGAAAATGAATGCATGTGATTCTCAAACCATATATCATGGCGTTTAGTTTTTATGTGGTTCTGACGAAGGTGGGATTTGATCTCAAGTCTATGTTATGATGACCAAGAACTATTAGCTATGCTAGATGATATCATGAATCACACATGATGATATGGAAGGCCAAGCAAATCATATTTGAGGATCGCATGTGAGTTGAAGGAAGTTGAAGGAAGAACACATGCTTGATGACATGTATTAAACCATAGGTTGTGGGGGGAATTTTAGGAAGATATACTCATTATATATAAGCAAAATGTGATGAATTGTCCGAGCTTGGTGACTTGGACCAGGTTTATGGTATCCTCCAAATCAGAGCTAGTTGTTTGTGCTGCAGATTAGTTTCCTACCCCACTACCACCAGTTGAGCATGGCTTATGACCTGTAGTACATATGGCTGCAAAGACTTAACTCATTGGTACAATTGATTACTTTGTCATAGATTTTAAATCAGTTAGGACTAAAAAGGAATTTAGATACCTGTCAGCATGCACAGCCCAGATTTAAGCCTAACCCATCAAGGTTCCTGTTCCAGTTTTGTTTGACTCCTTCAGCTTACCTGTTTTTGGGGTTGCAAACAAGTCGAATCAAGTTTTGGGGTGTTCAAGTTTGGCTCATTGAAATTAGTCGAGCTCGAACTTGAGTTGAGCTCAAAAAATTGAGCCCAAGCTCAGCTTGCCTAGTGCTTGAAAAACTTGAGCTCAACTCAAATCAACTCAATTACATATGCGATTAGAGTTTGAGCTTGAAAAGAAAAATCAAACCTAAATTAATTTGCACATTAAGGGAGAAAAAAAGAAAAGAAAATGAGATTAGATTATGAGAAAAACATTAAAACAATGTTCATATTATTATTAAGTTTCATGGATCAAATATGTATATTTGCAGAAACGCCAAACATCAACAACAAAATTATCCACACACACACACACAAAAAAAAAGAAAAAAAAGAAAAGGAGAAAAACCAACATGGTGTTACATCGAATATGAATACAAGATCAACTATCTGTGTACTGACACAGTATTTTGGCTTAGGGAAGATATGAGATTATGAGGACTTACATGCCCAAAGTTGGCACTCTTGGACTTGACATGATGTTTCGGACATGCACTGTTCAGTTGTGAGAAACTTTGCATTTTTGGTGTTCCAGTCATCTCAAATCAGGACTCCTGAAGTCACTAAGCATTTTTTTTCCTTAAAATCTGGAAGTTGTGTTCTGAATGGGAAATGTTGGATACATTTCTGGCTTTTATAGGTCAATTTGGACTTCAGCACTCAAGTGGACATAATCAGGAAATTTCGCGCTGGTCTTCCTTTGCAGCCTATATGAAAACTTGTTCTTTGTTTTTCTTACTGGAGTTTCTTTGGTTCTCTGGAATCTGATGAACATAGTAATTGAAACAGATCGCCACAGCCTTGTTTATAAAGTTTGGTTGTAGTGATGGATTAGTACACATCATTGGTACAATGTTATTCCTACAATCTTTTGGCATCTTCTGTTATCTATATTGCTTATCATCAATGATCACCTCAACTCTTTGAAGTTTTGGATTGTTATATGCATTTCTACTAAATTGGTTTATAAAATAAAATTATTTGTATATGACTTTAGATGTAATTGATAATATGTTAATGTTTTCCTTATTTATTTTCTTTGCAGATTGATTTTTGGTGACATTTAGAAGCATACTTGCAAATCAAGATCAAGTGTTGAATTTTATTTTATTTTATTTTTTTTTTCTGAACTGATACTTAGCTCTAGTTGCAAATTAACATCGAGTGTTGATTTGGAGGGAAAGTTGGTTTAGAATTGCGAAAATAGCATGTGACAATTGGAGTGCCATTGTAATAATTTGGCAATTTACTACTATTCATTGTCAAATTATAGCAATGGCAATGCTATTTTAGTAAATGCCATTGGAGATGCTCTTAGTTCATTTTGGGATTTGTTATGATGGTTTTTTTGTTATACTTAATGGATTATTATTAAATTTGTTTGATGGATATATTTTGATTTATAATATAAATTGTTTGGTGGATTTTTTTTTGTGGGGTGGTGTATAATAGCTAGTTGATTTCTTAGTTCATTTCAAAGGCTATTTGGACATGAACAGGAATATTTGTAAAATAATAATTTAAATTGAAATATAAAATATAAAACAAGTTTAGTGACGAATTTTTTAGTCATTTGTACTTGTTATTATGACAAAGTGATTATTCGTCGCTAATAAATATTTTTTGTGACAAAATTTATTGTAACATATATATGAAAGTTTTCATTGATTTTGTTGTTTGATGGCTAAAAATTTTGTCACATACACATATTTTGGCCACGAAATATATTTCGTCACCCATGTTTGATTTTTGGAGACAAAAAATTTCGTCAATTTTGCATCTTATTGTGACGAAATTATTTTTTCATCAATGATCGACATATGTGACAAATTTATTCAACTAAAATTATAAATATGGTATTGAATAATTATTTAGTGACGAAAATGAGGATTTTTGGGAACAATATTATTTTATTAGTGACAAAAAATTTCAACACTAAAGTAATTTCATTGGTGATGAAATTATTTTTCCTCATGGCAATTTTTAGTGATAAACATTCAATCACGAAATCGGTGAAAAAAATATTTCCTCACAAATATCTATAGTGATGAAATTAACTCTTTGGAGACCAAACAAAAAATTGTCATTTAAGACGCAACTTGTTTGATTTGGTTTTCAAAAACTTATTTTAATTTTTTTTTCTAAAATATTAATTAGGTGAAAGAAATAAAAAATGCTTATCATTTTTATACAATTTTATTTTTTGGGAGTCCATAAATAATTTTTAAAATTTAACAAAAAAATTGATTTCATTTTTATCAAATTACTTTTTTTTTTAATTTTTAAAAATTGAAACTTTTTTTTTTTCTGAAAAACAAACTAAAGCACCTTGATCATGTACACCATTATTTTTCGCTGTTACAATTCACGACTACAATTCTTTGTTTTTATTTAAAAAAAAAAAAAAAAAACTGCTTCCTCGTTTTTATAATAAAAAAAATTTAAATCTATCAATCATATATGCACCAATTTGTAGTCAAATTAAACATATTTAATATAATTATGAAGGTGAAGCAGAGAAGTTGCTGATAGAGATGACTGAGGTGTGTGCGTGATAATGGACAATGAGAGAGAGTTCCTGAGATAATTTCTTTTCCTTCTGTTAGAATTAATGTATAGGAAAAGAGAGAGAGAAACAATTATTAATTGATTGATGTATTGTAATTGTTGATATCTTTGTTGTTAACTCCTTTATATAGAGGAGAGATTACATAATTTGGAGGAGTCATTGAGCAGCTTACCGAAAGTGGCCGAAAGGCTTACAGAAAAGAAACACTAATGATGAAAGCAAGCAATCACTAACCTATTATAATGCTAACATATTATAATAACTTATTATATAATATTATACACTAACATATGAATAACATATTATAATAGGATAGGTTATTATATAATATTAACACCTTCTTCAATTCCTAAATCAAACATTTCTCAAATTTCCTAATCCTTAGCATTTCATACTTCAAGTGATAATCTAGTTAATTTTTTGTTAACTAATTATTAAGATGAATTTAAACCTCCATATTATAAGGAATTTTCAGGCAGAACTCAACAGAACCATATTGAAACCTTTTGCAGAGTGTGTTTGGTTTTCCAACTAAACATGCCAAATAAAATAAGGGTACTACATACCTACTCCATCTTATCAGCTCCATTTCTTTTTATTTTATTTTTTTTTCTGGGCATTCTTTGCTACCAGCTCCACTTCTTATTAGAGACTCCTCAAAGCTATACAAAACTATATATACTAGTTTAGATAGCTCTGTTCCCCAACACAAGAAGCAAAGCATCCCTCTCAAATCTGACCTTCTCTCCTCTCTTCACATTCCAAAATGGCCAACCCTATTTCTCTCTCCTCCAAAACAATGAAGGTCACCTTCTATCTCTTCTTGTTACTAGTCACCACCATCGGATGTGCCAGCTCAGCTCGGATCCTTGATGAAGTGGACCCACAATTCCCAATCTCAGCCGACGCACCTGTAGAAGTTCCTGACGTGGCACCCGTAGAAGGCCCTGCCACCATATTACCAAGTGGCCAAATCCCGGCCACTCCCACCGGTACCACACCTGTTGTTGGCCTGGCACCTTTAGCTGGACCCACCACAACCCTACCAAATGGACCCATCCCAGTGGTTGCCCCTATTGCCACTTCAGCCCCTGATGCCGATGTGCCCAATACCGTGACACCACCCGTTGCTGACGTGGCACCACCAGTAGCTACTCCTGCCGTCACATCACCAAGTGGGCCTACCTCAGCAGCTTCCGCCGGTGCTGCGGTGGCCCCACAAAACCCTCCATTGTCCTTCTTCATGCATGACATCTTGGGAGGGACCCACCCTTCGGGCAGGGTGGTGACGGGGATTGTGGCCAACTCCGACGTCAACAACCTTCCTTTCTCCAAACCCAATAGTCAGGTCTTCCCGATCAATGGCGGCGTTCCACTTAACAGTGTCACCGGTGTCATCAACAACAACAATGCCCCATTACTTGTAGGCCTCAATGGCTCACCAAGCTCCACCGTCATACAAAACAGTGGCAACAACAACAATGTCAATGGCGGCAACAACTTGCCCTTTGTCTCAGCTGGCCAGCTTCCGGCTGGCGTAACCCTTCAACAGCTCATGTTCGGCTCCATAACCGTTGTTGACAACGAGTTAACCGAAGGGCACGAGCTTGGATCTGCTGTGCTAGGCAAGGCACAAGGTTTTTACTTGGCATGCTCATTGGATGGTACTAGCCACACGCTTGTGTTGACAGCATTGTTCCACGGTGTTGATCATGACATGGACAACACAATTAGTTTCTTTGGGATCCACCGTACTGGTTCACCATTGTCTGAGATCGCAGTCATTGGTGGCACGGGAGAGTATGAGAATGCTAAAGGGTATGCCACTATTGAGACTCTTCACCAGCAAGATCAGCACACAACCGATGGCGTAGAAACAATCACCCAGTTCAATGTTTACCTCACCCTCTAGGGTTTTACTCTTTGTGGAACTTGATTTGCTATCTCTTTGTATTTTGGATTGAAGTTGAATGTTATCTGATGTGTCTTTCGTGTGTATCTGTGTGATTGAATGAATCGAATTACAGCATTCATTGATCTTTCAGCATAACCTGCACTTTGAAAAAACAATTTCAGTCTATAAACCAATATCCCAATCCATTTTTATTTCACAAAAAATCAGTCTTTATCTTTACATTTCCTTTTCAACCCTACCAAAACTGTAGCTATGCATACATTGAATACATATTGCCAAAACCATTACCCTATTAACATCACATAATCTCCAAGAACCAAAAACACCTTGACTAAAAACTCTCAATGCTCACTAACTCTGCTACTAACTCATCAAACAAAAATCTCTCTATTTCACAAACAATTAAATCAATATCATCCCGCACATTAAACCACCTAATTTCCGTTCCCAGCGCCTTTTCTGACAAGTCCTTGCTCACTTCCTTTTCTTGACTAACCAGAAACATCCACAGCTCTTCCTCGATCACCTCACGGCTCTGTGAGAGGTTAAACATTTTTCTCAGCGGTTTTGTCCATGTCAGGACATCTCTGCACTGTTGCAAAATCTCCTTCAACCCTAGGTTTGTACGGTCAAACAGAAGTCTCCTTTCCGCCTTCTCCCAATATGTTTGTTCACCGTATTTCTTTTCTAGCGTCTCAAACACCGACAAGTTTACTGGGCAATCTTGAGAGTGCCATGTTTCGAAGTCCAATTGTGGGTTACCACTGTAAAAGCCTGCCTCGTCCAAAACATCAACTACGTAAGAGAAATCCCTACTCTCTTGAGCTCCAAACAACCCCTGTAATTTTCTGTTTTCTTCCGAAAGATCAACAGATCCATCACCACTGTCTTCATCACTAGACACCACCATTCCGAGTCCTTCTGAATTAGTTTCTTCCGCCTCTGACTTCAAAAGTTGAAGTTGCATCCGTAAACCTGTACAAGTCATGATATTAGAAAACTTAAAATCAATCAGAAATAAAACAAAAATGGTGGAGAAAAATGTTTTTAATTCACAAACCACGGAGGTCAGCACCAATGTCTTGAAAGCAATTGGAGGCAGATAAATTTTCTTCACCGAAAGGTGGTTCCAGAACTGAATTTGGACTATCAGAGTAACCTTCCCCAAAGCTCACGGGAAATTCTGAGTCAACTCTGGGGCAGCTTGAGGGAACCCATGATTCTTCAAGGGATCTAACTGATGAATCCTGTAGTTCAAAAACAGAGTTAAAATCTAACCAATCACACAATGTGCCACAAGAAATAAAATGTAGTGACAAAATTTATAATATGTACATCACAAGACACAAAAGAGCAACGGCACAATATCAAAAGTGAAAGAAAATAATTTCAATACAAAATTTAAGCTCGAAATAAGCTGAATGCAAGGATTGCAATCTAGAAGACACTAATTATTGATTGGAGATCTTTCACTGAGAAACATGTCAAATATGGATTCACTTTGAACTTCATTCAGAAAAAAAGAAAAAGAAAAAAAAGAAGGCAGATTGTTTGGTTCCCATTAGGATCTTCAACACTAAATTCTTACACCAACCAGAGAATAAAAGACAAAAAAAATTCTTATATGCACAATTTTACAGCTAAACACACTGGAAGTAGAAAACAGATTATAACAGGCAAGCAGGAAAATGGACCAAAATGCTGATAACAGCTTGAAAAACAAAGGACCGTGCTAACTTGTTCAGATAAGCCAAGCAAGGAACATTCTCTATGGCTTTAACTAGAACAAGATTGACAATATTGCAGTACACATTAAGACTAGCAATTCCAATTTTACAATCAGCACATTTCTTTTCCAACATGGACGTTTGTGATGCATACCCAAAAAAAAATACACAAGGGAAGAATCACAAATATTAAATTGAAACCAAGAGGGATAGGTTGTTTGCAAGCCAAATAAGAAAAAAGAAAATCAAAGACTCTAGCACACTTAGGAACACATATAAGATATAACTATGTCAGGTGTTCAGCACAGCATGATTGATTCACATCTTCCAAGTTTTTGATAATAAACAGAGTCTGCATTTTACAAATAACATTCAATTAATCTTGTCATAGTAGTTAAAAGGACAAGTAACTTAAATTTCATGCCCAAAACCTAAAAAGAGCAACCAAGTGATAAATAAGTCTAAGTGCCTACGTCGTAGCATGACACAAGACTATATGATGCAACATGTACACATAAAAATTTTAAAAAATTATTAAAAAAAGAAAAGAAAAAAAAGAAAGATACAACTAAATGAGTACAGGATAAGTAACAAATAACACACTCATGGGCATGCACATGTAGGCTATGATATAGGTTCTTTCAGGTAGTTAAAATATATAATAGAAAACCATTATATGTAAAAATGTTATCACTGAAATACAAACAAAAACAATTGCATTGCATTTCTCATAGAATCATTTACATATGCTAGCAAAAGGTTAGTCTAAAACACTAAAATCCTTGAAAGAAAAGCCAAACCTGTCCAACAGAAGAATCCAAGGCATGAGAGGAATGTTTCAAGAACAAAATACAGGCCGCTGGTTCAGATTGCTGCTCCTCGGCAGTTCCAGATGACATTCCCACGTTCTCAGTTTCTGCAACTGCCACTACTTCTGAATCCAGACTCGAGTAAGTAACAGTACCAATTGGTGAGTGAGCAAATACATATTTCTCTTCAGATTTTCCAGAAAGATCATTCTCGCCACAACTGTTTTTCAGCTCATCCTGAATTGCCATGGTTCCTTGTACTTGATCATATTCTAAATCCAAACAAAGAACACTCTCATTGCTAAATCTTGAGACTCCGACTTCTGAACTGTCATCATGGACAGCCTCATTTCTGATCCTAGATTTAGGAATTTCAATGGTGATACAAGCAGCAGGAAGAGATTCCGATCTAGTTAAGCTTTTGGCACACTCCTCCTTCCAACCATCCCTGCTGCTAATACTGAAAGGACTTCCCAAGTCTGAATCTCCATCATTCAGAACCAACTGATTGTTCAATCCACATGCATCAAGCTTGTAGTTTAAATCTATGGGCTTGGTTTCTTTGTCAGGCATAGAAAGCATTTCACCGAGGGTGGTGCCCCTACTAGCCACTCCAACTTCTTGAAGACTTCTGGTCATTTTCCACCTTTCCAAGAGTCGCTGCTTGGCTTGTTTGGCAAAAGATAACCTATTCAAAGGAGGATGAGTGGTTTGGCATCGCTTCTTCCAATCAAATAACTTTGGGCAAGGCGGCATCGTTATCTTAGATTCATTTGTGGAGGTCTCATTACCTCTCAATTCGGCCAAGTTTTTCCTTTGTACTACTCGATTATGTAATTCGATGTTTTTAAGTTTAGAAAACTCCACAGATTTTCTATCACTTTGCTGAGAAACTTCCTCACAAATAGGTGAAAATGAAGGCCTTGAAGCATTCTGTGCCTTTCCAATATTTGGTTTTAGAACAACAATTCTTGAAGGGGAAAGACGTGTCTCATCCTTTAACAACTGACGGGTATAATCAACACCAAAGTCAACATAGGAATCTGTAACAAAACCATTCTCAAGTTTTTGAATCGATCTCAAAATATTCCGCCGTGCTGTTTTCCTTTCTGATTTCCTGGGAATTTCACTTTTCCCACTATAAGGAGAACTAGAAGTCTTCAAGACTGTTTCATGACCCGACTGGGAATGTTGTTGGGCAAATTGCAGATCATGGTGATGATTGGTGAATTCCAAGACATTGCTAAATTCTTTCCCTTTTTCATAATTGACCTTAAATGAATGTCTTTCATGGTATGATCGCTTCTCTACTAAACCGATGGAAGCACTTTTCCGAAGATAACTTTCAGAAAGCACTCGATGAGGTTTGCAGACAGGTTGCTGGGGCCGCCATTCATCGAGACCCATCAATCTCGCGATAACACTCGGTGTACGTTGTTTGGATTCCATCTCTTTTGGCAGTTTCTCAACCTGATTTTGAAGGAAACCACTGAAACCCAAGCACTCTGCAAAAGACATGAAAATTCATTCAATGCAAGTAAATGTAATGTAATCAATATAGTTGGATAGTAAGCACGTCTCAGATAAACATTCAAAGCTGAACACTAAGCCAAAAACAACTTGCAAAGAAAATATACTCCAAAATTTTACTCTCTCCCAATTAAATGGAAAAGTGTCAATCAGTTTACATCATAATCGAAGGTAATAAAGAGACATAAAAAGAAAACAATGTAAAGTAAATGTTACATGTCTAGAACTCATAGACTCTATACAGATAATAATAGACCAAATTAATAGACATAAACAAGGTAGATACCTTTAACAGACACTATTTAAAGCTGAATTCAAAGACGATAAACAATCAACAAATTGCCTAAACCGAAAAGTCTGCTTTCTTAGTATGGGTGAAATGAAAAACTACGTAGGAATGCAGAAGCATCAATTCTGCCATTAATCAAGTGAATTATACAAAATAGACACATAAATATAATTATAATTTGCAATTAAATTCCCAATGGACACTAGACAACTCAAGTGATTAGATACAAAACATAATAAATTTAGTCTCAATGAATCATCAATCATATTGTCGGAACAGATAAGAGTGTGACATAAAGTAGACCACATGGAACTGGCAATTATTAAAAACACAAATTCAAACAGTAAACAAACAACAATCATACATATTATAATAACAAGTAACAACCCTAAAGAAATCAATGCAAAAGAAAACACAATCACGCCATAACCCACTTCAACAAATTAACAATAAAAGCAATTACAAACATGCTTTGCCAAAGCACAAGCAAAACTCAAAAACCCAGAATCCAAACCCAATCATAATAACACCCAAACAGAACCCTAAAACCAATCACAGAACAAAAGCAACTGACCTACTTCAATTGCAAAAAACACAATTTGGTTTTTTTGAATCAACCTTGTTTATACAACTCCAAATCGATTTCCCCATCACATGGTAAGTGATCAAGATTGATTTCAATGATGGGTATTAAAGTAATGATCTCATGAATCGAGTATGGATTGAAATTGAAGCAAAAAAGGACAAGCACGCCCAAGAAAGTTAACAGAATCGGACAAAACTCGGAGAACCCGAAAATGGAGTCCGATTATGGTGATGTGTGGATCAGTGGATTGGATTTTATGTATGTGAAGTCAAAAGATGTCTATATATAGAGAGGTGTAACATTTTACGTTTACATCTACATCTACATCTACATCTACATCTACATATATGTCTTTTATAGGTAGCTTGAATTGATGAGAAAAACAAACTAATTTGCGGGTTCGAATCGAAGGTTTGCGTTTGCTGGGTTTGTTTGTGGGTTGACATTTGGGATTTGATTCGAATCATTGGACGCGCCGACTCACATTGATGACGACTCCGCGTATCTCGCGCCATCAATTCTAGATACTTCAACGAAACTTGCTATTTCCACTCTGATAAATGCTATTATTTGAAACAAAAATACTAAAAATCTCAAAAATTTTACTAAAAATACTATTAAATGTCCAATATAGGTGTGAGACCCATATGAAACCCACATTGTGTGGGTTCCATACTCATATAAGACATTTGTTAAAAATTTGATAGAATTTTAGAATCTCTAGCATTATTCTATTTGTAATTGGGATAAAAAGTGTTTTAAAAAATAAATAACAATATATTAAGTAAATAATAAATTATTTTAGAAAATTACAACCCAAAAAAAAAATCAAAATTTGACTCTCGTAATAAAATAAATTTTTAATTTTTAGTTTTAACAATTTAAACTCTAATCTTTTTATTTGTATTCAATTTAAACTATCAGCTCATTTATTTGATGAAAAAAATAAATTTTAGTCATTAAACTCAACGTAAAATAAAATGTCTAAAATACTCTTTTTTTTATTAAATTTAATAATTAAAATATTTTTTTTCTGTTATAGTTAAAAGAAATAGACAAGTGATTTAGATTGAAAATAAATTAAATATTTAAAGATATATATTATAATTTCCCCATAGTTAAAAAAAATAGACAGATGATTTAGATTGAAAATAAATTAAATATATAAAGATATATATTATAATTTCCCCTAAATTTTGTGAAAAGAATTTTGCTTGAATGCAATAATAAATTTTTTAGAATCGAAACACGACTCACAACAATATCGATAATTAAATCAAATTTTTACAATTTAGATGTATTTGGTTTTTTAAAATGATTATCAAATTGAAATGAAATACAAAATGATGATTATCTTAAATTAGTAAATCGTGCATATATTTTTAATATAAATTACCATATTTTTTACATAATTAAACATAAAACAGGTATTCTAACAAAGTTTACGTTTGAAAAAAAAAAAAAAAAAAAAACTAATTTAACTTGGCTTTTAACTTTTTTGGTGAATGAAACTTGGCTAAATTCGTTTCCTTTGGAAAGAATTTTTTACTTTTTTTGATTTCGATGTGATGGTTGTATGAAGAAAAAAAAAATTAAAATAATTATAGTTTAGATATGATATTTTGTCTTATTAACTTAGTTAATTTATTTTGGGGGATTTTTTTTTAAGGTCCCTAATAATAACAATTTAGAGGATAAAGGACACACAAAAAGATAGTGATGCCTCACGTCCCTGAAACAACTTGGCGCGCGTTTTTAATTATTTTGTGGACCAAAATACCCTCGCCAAAATCAACACAGAACCAAACTCATTCCGACGTCTCAGTTACATTCCAAACATCCAGCATCTTCACGAACAGGAGAACAGCAGAATTAGGGTTTCAACATCATCTGCACCATCGACATTAGAGCTTCGTTATCTTCTCCAAAAATCATTCTCATTCCTTCCTTACAAATTTCTCTGACCTAGGTTAAAGCTTCGTTTTCACTGCTCATCATCATCTCAGTCCATCTTCGTCACGTCGCATCTTCATCGCGGGCCATATCAGCTCATCATTCAAGTTTCATCCTAACTCTGGTCAGTTTTTCTACAATACAACTAGATTTTCTCTGGAAACACAGTTAATAGCATTTTATAATAACTTTTCATAAATTAGGGTTTCAATTTCGTAATAAAAAGCTACCTGAATTTGAAAAAATTTATTTCTGTGTATTTTGAACTTATTCTTCAACATGTTTGTGTGATTGTATCTGTAAATTTCTCTGGCATTTGAATTTCTCTGATTTTTGATTAATGTAATTTTCTTCTTTCAATTTTCTCTGGCATGTTTATTTTCACAACCAATTTTTGTGTTTTTATCTTATTCTTGAACATGTTTCTGTAATTTTGTCTATAAATTTTCCTGCTCCGTAAATTTCTCTGTAATATGTATTCTTAATTGCAATGTCTATCTTAATCTAGAATGTCTATTGCTTTCTTGCCTCTGTCTTAAGTTTCTCTGGTATTTACAATTTTCTCTGACCACATCGCACCACTTTCCTCCATTGAGTGTCTCTATCATGGTTAATTTTCTCTGCTTGTGTATGTAAATTTTTCTTGCATTTTAATATTATGAATTGAAATTTTCTCTGGAATGGAAATTTCCTCAAGAATGTGTAATTTTCTCCAGAATGTGCATTTTTCTCTGGTATGTTTATTTTGTTCAATTCTTGATTTCAATAGGGTATACTTCTCAGTGCCATGTTTACATTACTTTGTTTATTTTATCTTTGCTAATTGTGGAATGCAAATTTTCTTTCACTTGCCATGTTTACTTTTTTCTATCATTCATTTTCTCTGGTATGTTTACTTCTATCTGTAATTTAAACAATTATTGAAAATTTCTCTCCCATGTTTATGATGCTGAGTTGATTTTCTCTGACATGTCAAAATTTCTGTAATTTTCCCTTATCTGTAATTTTCTCTGACATTTCCATTTTTCTCTGGGATTTAATGTTGACATCTCTATGCTTTAATCATTGTCTAGAAATGGCAAAACGTAAAGGCCCCAAATTTGTAATAGTATTTCATATATATATATATATATATATTTTAATCAATATTAAAAAATAACAAAAAACACACTTAAAAAATATTTCAAGCGATTCTTTCATAAAACCAAACTAAAAGCAAATACATATATAAAATTTATTAGCGAAACAAAAATAAAAAAAAAATTAAATAAAAAACTACTCAAGACTAGTGTATTAAAAAAATCCTAGTTTCAGGCAATCAGCCAACCAAATTAGGAAAAAAGGCTTACCAAACAGGTTTGGCTAAGGGATGACAAAATTATCCGACCTGATATATTTTTTCAACCCAATTTTAATTTTTGTTAAAAAAAAGTTTGGAAGAACATTGGTAACGTAATATAAAGTATAGAGGTACATAGGCCCCATTTGTTTTTGGTGAAAGAGAGGGTATTGGAATTGCTAATACCAAGGTATTAGTAATAGCCTTGTTTGTTTTGGGAAAAGGCCTTGGTATTACTAATACTCTTGGAGAGGGGATTGGTAAGGAGGAGGTAGAGATGGTATTAGAAAAATAGTGAGGGAATTAGAAATTTTTTTATTTTTTTTATTTTTTATATATGGGAAATTTTTTTAAAATATAATTTTTAATTTTTTATATTTTTTCATTTGTTTTATTATTTTATATAAAAATAATTTAACAATTCCTCACTACTAATCCCCTCACTAATAATCCCTTCACTATCAATCCCCTTCATTCTATCTCCCAAAACAAACGGGATCAAAACTATCAAGGTTAGGATAGACCATGAAATTGTATCATTAAAATAGTTGACTTTAAAGTCCACATTTGGCTTGCGAAACCCAAAAAAACCCAACCCATTGCCAGGTAGGCCTAGAGGCCCACGCGGAAAAAGACAGACCTAATGGACAACCAATTTGGGCACCCTAACGGCCCACAGTGCAGGACAAAAGCCAATCAATCTGTGGAGACCCAACGGCACAACAAAATAAACGGACCCAGAGGCCCACCAAACTAGTCTGGCCTAAAGACCCACTGGGTTGGCATAAAATGGTTAACTATTGATTTTCAATTATGCCATGTAATTGACTTCCTTTTATTAATTCAATAAGTGAAAAATGATTCTATATCTCATTTATTTTAATTAAAAAATGTGACAAATTAGGTTTTGAAAGGTTAAACTAAAATGAAATCAAATAATAGAAACTAAAAGCAAACCCAATTTGACCTGACTCAACTCGATTATACCCTACTATGAAAAAGTGGTTTTGGAAATACTCTTCAGATCCTGGGAGACGCTAGTGATCCTCAGCTAGTCACCTGAAAAGACACAAACACTTCGGTCGGGGGTGCCGGAATTAGCACTCTGACGGACAAGTTAGTTCAAACACTCAGAATAGCTTGTCTACTAAGTTTTGTGAAGTGATTCTTACATACTTTTCTAAATCTGTGGTTTTTGTATTTATACTTGCTTTTTAGGCCTTGGGGCCTGAGACTACTTTTATTCCATTCCCCTTTTATTCATTTGGAGCCACTGACCTCCGTCTATTCGGCTTTCCTAACGTATTCGGCGTCCTAGTCACGCAACATGAAGCCGAACAGTATCTAATTTCTGGGGTACGCATCTTCCGACTGTTCTACTTATTCGGCTCCCACAATTGCCCCCCAAGCACTTCACCGACGACAGTTGGCTGGAGTGCTTGGTTTTGAATTTCGAAAAGTCGGAGCCAAAATTCGACGATTGGCCTCATCCTCATATGGATATCTAAGCGCACCCCTTTCAGTTGTCATGTCGATCTCCCGCCCTCTCGTACATGTCTATTTATTGCAATTTAAAATTTTGACGTCCTTTCAAGTATGTATTTTATGACGCTCATCGCTGGATTGCCTTTTAAATCGTCCTTGAAACTCTCTTCTCCGATATCCTCTTCGTCCTTTGTAAGTTCTTTTCTCCCTTGCTTCGAAGACTCTTTCTGGTTTATTCCTTCCTTGGCATATTCTCATAAACTGTAGAGCATGGCGAAACATTTAAAAGACCTGATCTCGTCAGATCGAATTGCTGGCTTTAAATGCCATTTCTCCATTCCTGATGATGTCCGTCTGTCGCTTGTGGCAAACGGCACTCTTGATATGGAGAGGGAGGACAAAACCACGATTGTCTTTCCTCTTTTGTCAATTGCAGAGGGTGAAGTCCGTTTCCCCCTTCACCCGTTTCTTAGGGCTGTGCTTCACCATTGGGATTTAATCCCTTCCCAACCTAATGTGAATTTCTTTAGAATCATAATGGGGGTTATAGCGCTCAACCGTCGCCTAGGATTTTATGTATGTGAAGTCAAAAGATTATATATAAT